TGCATTTCACATGTTCCACAGACACTGAAATTAAGAAGTCGCAAAATGCCGACGGCGTAGCAGGGGATTTCTGCTGCACAGAGCACAATGAACTCTTAGAATCTAGAGATCCAACAGACAGCTTGAGGCCTAACTGGTGCAGAGTGGCCCCTGATACCCACGGGATCTTGGGTCCAGGCAAGGCTAGGGACGAGGCTGAACAACAGATGGGATATAGTGAACCCAATGCCGAACTGTTTTAAAGCAGAAGGGAGCCCCTTGAGCTTGCTCCAACAAGGTGTACAGGGGATTACCACCGCTCCTCTGAGCAATGAACCCCGATACTCAAGCTCCCTGGCTGAAGGAGCCAGCTGTGTCCAAGCCACTGTTAATACCCCTTTGGAGTGCACATATGATACAGCGGCACCAGAGAGCAGGATACATGGGATCAAGATCACTCTGTCGAGGGCAGATGATGGCATGGGGAATGTAGGAGGAGTGGCTGAGTCAGGAAAGAGTGGGGACCCCTCCCACTTAGTATGCCTGAGAATGCAGAATGCAGCCGGGAACGGTGCAGAGCTCCACTCAGAGGCAACATGTATGTGCTGGCAATGAGTGACCAGCTGCCCTCATTGTGGAACAGAGCTGCAAGAAGGAGTGCCAATCCCCAGCAATAAACCTGCTGACCTGCAAGCAACAGTCAAGAATAACAGGGGACCTATCATTATTATGGTGTGCCTACCTCCTTCTACACATAATAGCACCGAGAGCTCATGTCCCTCAGTGGGAGGGTTGGTGGGACCATTATGTGTATCTACCAATGAAAATGTTGTTTCCCTGGAAGAAGTACCTGATGAAGAGGATGACTACAGTTACCAGCAAAGTCTTCAACAACCGACAATCAGGGAAGACCCTGTGGAGCATGCAGAGGAGTACCCAGAAGACTACGAAGTAACTGAACTCGAGAAAGAGTTCTATAATGATAAGTGGGACAAGGGCTGGCTGAAGCCTCATAGCATGGAATGGGTATGAAGGAAGATCTGTCAGGAGAAGACCATGGAAGGAAAGTTAGCAACCCTCCGAATGTGGGTACACCCTCGACGGCTAATCGAGGTAGACAAAGACCTAGTCGTGGACCTTCAAGGGTCCATCCACAAATCCTATCACCAATGGGAACAGTGCCTAGAAAACCTACACAATCTATGAATACCACCACAATATGTACAAGGAGGAAGGGGGAGAAGTGTAAATATCCAGGTCCAACTTGAGATCCTGGATACAAGTGAAATAAGAGCAGTCAAGGCCCTGGTAGACAGTGGGTGCACAGGCAGTTGCATCAACAGAGCCTTCATTCAAGAACACCAGCTAAACACCATGAAACTACCCAAGGCACAAGTGGTGTACAATGCAGACAGGAGCCGCAACAAGGGGGGGGACATTACAGAGATAGTGGAATTGCACATGACGATTGGGGATCATCACAAAAAGATCGATTTCGCCATTGTAGACCTAGGAAATATCCCTCTGTTCCTGGGTCACAATTGGCTTAAGCAACACAACCCCATCATTGATTGGAAGACGGGAGCCATTTCCCTAGTATGCTGCACATGCTGGAAGGTACTCTTCCTGCTGCCAGATGAGGATCCCAAGCAGCGGTGGGGAACTGAAGTAGAAGAAGGGGATACCATCCTAATCGTGGACTTTCAAGAGGCCTTCCACATCAGAGCCATGGGGAGCAAGGCAAACAAACTCGCAGCCAAAGCCAATGAAGCAAAGGAAAATAAAACCTTTGAAGAGATCGTGCCACAAGAATACTGAGAGTATGAAGATGTATTTGCCAAAGAAAACTTCGACAAACTACCTCCAAGAAAACCATGAGACCATGCTATCGAACTCCTCCCTAATGTGAATGCCAGCCTAGACTGCAAGGTCTATCCTCTAAACCCCACAGAACAAGAAGAGCTTGACTGGTTCTTAGACAAAAACCTAGAATCGGGAAGGATATGACCTTTCAAGTCTCCGATGGCATCACCCTTCTTCTTTGTAAAGAACAAGGATGGCAAGCTAAGACCAGTACAGGATTACCGCAAACTAAATGAGATGACCATCAAAAACCACTATCTATTACCCTTGATCAGGAAACTTATGGATCAACTCAAGGATGCCAAATACTTCACTAAGCTAGACATCTGGTGGGGATACAATAACATTTGCATCAAGCAGAGTGACGAGTGGAAGGTGGCCTTCAGGACCAACCGAGGGTTGTTCAAACCCATGGTCATATTCTTTGGCCTCGCCAACTCCTCCACTACCTTTCAGTGGATGATGAATGATTTGTTCAAAGAGCAAATAGTGAGCAGAGAGGTTACCGTTTATCTGGATGACATTCTAATTTGCACCAAGGACAAAGAGTGGCATCAACAGGTGGTACGCAAAGTCCTAGCAATCCTGCAAGCCAATAACCTCTTCCTGAAAGCAGAGAAGTGTGAATTTGAGGTACTAGAGACTGAGTACCTCAGAGTAATCATCAGTCAAGGATCGATCTGAATGGACCCTGTCAAGGTGAAAGGTATCATGGAGTGGCCACAACCGCAAAAGAAGCAAGAACTGCAATTGTTTCTAGGCTTCACCAACTTTTACCGCCGGTTCATTTGGGACTACAGCAAACATGTCTGACCCTTGACCAAGCTGATGGGCAAAGTAGAATGGCAATGGAAGAAGGAACAGGAGAAAGCCTTCCAGGACATCAAAAGAAAGATAGCTGAAGAAGTGGTCCTGGCAATACCCACCCAGTCAGGAAAGTTCTGAGTAAAAGCAGATGCCAGCAAAGGAGCGATTGGGGCAGTCCTGTCCCAGGAACAAGATGGGAGGTGGAGGCCTGTAGCCTTCATGTCGAAGGCATTAACTGTCACCGAGTGCAAATATGAAATCTATGACAAAGAGTGCCTGGTTCGAGCAATAAAAAGGTGGACTTACTGAGTAGGAGAGCAGATCATGATCAGGAGAAAAGCAACAACGAGGGAATAACTCTCCTAAAACCAGAGGTGTTCCAAGCTCTAATAATGCCAGGAGAGGAGGAAATACACCGCAAACTTTGCACTGCCTTGCGGGATGTAACCAAGTGGGATAAAGGGATTGAAGCCTCTCTACATCATCCATGCAGGGTAACTCAAGAAAATGGCCTAATGCATTATGATGGACAACTCTATGTACCCCAAGATGCTGCACTATGAGGAGAAATAATTGCTGTTCACCACGACCACATCACTGCTGGCCACTCAGGCATCGAAAAAACCAAGGAACTCGTCCAATGGGAGTATTGATGGCCCAAGCTCAAAGGGGATATCAAACCCTACATAAAGGGCTGTGAAGCCTGCCAATGCACCAAGATGAGTACTCAGCGAAGACAAGCACCCCTACACCCAAATGCAGTTCCCTCACAACCCTGGGAACACATCCGTCAACATGATCACCAAACTACCAGATTCCAACAGGTATAATGCAATCCTGGTCATAGTGGATCACTTCTCGAAAGAGATTATCCCAATACCATGCTCGAAAGAGCTAACATCCCTGGGATGGGTCAGAATACTCAGAGATCACATATGGGCCAAACATGGTATGCCCCAAAAGATGATCTCTGATCGAGGGCCCCAGTTTGTCTCCAAATTTATGAAAGAGTTGTACAACATGCTCCACATTCAGGGTAACCCATCCACCACATATCATCCACAGACTGATGGACAAACCGAGCGTGCCAATCAAGAGATCAAAAAGTATCTCCAGATATTCATCAACCATTGACAAAATGACTGGAGCAAGTGGCTACCCCTCGCTGCCTTTCAACATAATAACCGGAAACACTTGGCCACAGGGTATTCTCCCTTTGAGATCAACCATGGGCAAAAGCCACATGTAGCCCCAATAACTCTCTGAGAAGGAAGCAATCCTGCAGCCAGAGACTTTGCTGCAGAAATACAAAAGATACACGAACAAACTGCCAAAGCTCTGGAAAGAGCAGCCAAAACCATGAAAAGGCAATACGACAAACACCGGCATGACATGGTACAACCAGGAGACAAGGTTTGGCTGGACTCTACCAACCTACACCTGCCATAACCAATGAAAAAGCTGGGAGATAAACAAGTGGGCCCCTTCAAAGTAATCACCAAATACGGGGCCTCCACCTATGAACTCAAGCTTCCTATTTCATGGAAGATCCATCAACACTTCAATGAGATACTGCTTACCCCCTATCATCCACCAGAGTTTCCAATCCAAATACAGCCCACAGCACATCCACCGGATCTCATAGACAGACAAGAGGAATACGAAGTGGAAGAAATCGTGGATCGATGGGAAAGAACCACCAGGCAGGGAAGAAGACATCATACAGTAACCGAATACCTTGTAAAGTGGAAAGGCTACCCAAGAGAAGAAAACTCATGGGTTGACAAGCAAGAACTGGACAATGCCAGGGACGTCATAGAAGACTTTGAACAATTCTTCTTCATTACGCGACTGCTGGCAGATTGGCGGGAGGAAAATGATGAAACCGATAGCTGGTCCAAAATGGAATCCGTAACAGAGTCTGAAATAGACCACCCCCTGGTTCAAGCCATTCAAGAGTACCTGGTTAAACCCAACCAAAACAAGGATGGAACTTCTTCCCTTCTAGGGGCTTACTGGCCTAAGACCAACATAACCACAGTCAGGATGACTGTCTTAACAGGGGGGTAATATTACAATTTCATGTCCTATCTTATCTTATCCAGCATCATCATAATCTTCATATGCTAATGCTCTGACTCTGATCGCATAGAACCATGCTGGTACTGCATGTCTAACATGCTGTTACAGACTCTAGTATTATATTTAACTTTCCAAATGTGTATATAAGTATCTCGACTGTAGGTCTTAAACCTTAGTCTCGAACTGAAGTTTATTCACCTGATAACTTAGTCTGAACTCACTCTCGAATCGCTAAGCGATAGCTCCCTGCACATAAACCTGCAAATAACTCATAAGCGTCTGACCGAAGTGCAAGTCATGCTTAGTTGTTTGATCTTGTTTGTATAATTGGTCACTAACAGATGACCCCAATTTGTGAAGTTGTGATCATCTTCATCGTTGTCACTCAGAAATGCACCTAGCAAAACAGAATCAACAGCTGAGACAAGGATATGAAATAAAATGAGGCAAACCTTCATTATACAGTTCAACTAATGGGTTTTTCGAACTCTTCCTTTGTTTACCTGCACCTTTTGCTTGCTTCTTCTTCACATTTGTAGTTGTCCAAGCAGCAGGTGTCTTAGTTGCTACTGCATCTTCTGTAGGCTCTTGTACTTGCTCAGAAGATTCAGGCATAGTCTGCGGTGTAGCAGCTGGCCCCTCAGTCACTGAAAGGGGTGTATCCTGAATAGCACTAGTAGTTGTCATCATCTGGGTTGGTAGCACAGGCTGGTTAGCTGCTAAGTATTAGGATACATTTCCTGAGACTGGCTGAAACGATTCACGAGTCTCAAGAGATTTGAGATGAAGTGTCCTAGATAGAATGAGCACCCCGAAATATGTAGATAACATGGCTACTCACACAATGCAAACAACTTTATTGACAAGTCATTCTAACTTAGGCTGGATCAGATCCAATGGTATCTTCAGCCACAGAACAGTCTGAAGGTAAGAAACGACACAGTCAAGACCATATTTTCCTCACCATATATTGGGAAGTTGCCCATGTTCATTGCACAGATGTTCTGCATATAGAATATCAAATCTCTGGTTGAATGTTGAAAAGTCATCATCTCCATTGACAGCCGTCATGACATGGTAGATGTTATCATTAGATAAGGTGACAGATATCTTCTTAGGAGGAAGGCAAGGATAAAGTGCCGCAAGCTTTTGAACAAGTCCACAGATTGTGGATAGAGAAGGCTCTGCAGACATGGGTAGCTCTTGCTGAGTAGAATGGTGCACAGAGCCTTTATAAAGAGAGGAAACAAGTCCATTTCAAAGAGAAGTAACTGTGATGAATTAAAGAAATGAGACAAAATGTGAGCACCATTGTCTGAAGACATTGTGGTGCACTGCACAGCTCAATGGACATGAACAGAGACAATGCCTAATGGGGAAACCTTTACCATTTAGTTTACTCTTTGTTTACCCTTTGCTTCCTGTTTCAAAATAAAAGGGTAAAATAAATGATTTAAACTGTTTGGAAACTGTTTCAAAGGAAAACGGTTGGAGCTCTAAGTCTAAGTCTATATAGTTCATGAGAATCACATGACTTCCACATGTGATTCTGACATGACACATATACAATGCACATGAACCTCTGAATAAGCCTCCACCCCTTCCAACAGTCTTGGCACTTAGATAGAAGATTAGATATGGATAAATGCTGAAAATAAGGTGAGATAAAGGAAAAACCATAATACAGAGCACTATGCTCTAACTCACAAGCACACTCATGGGAGTTAAATGAAACTTTGAGGATTGCATTAACATTGACAATATTTAGCATGCTCACTAACTATGACACACCATACCTGAAAATCTGGGGAAATCCTTACATGAGATGACAGATATCACTGGCACAACCTTGAGCAGTGGGTTTTGACTGAAATCCAAGAGCCTGAGTCCCATTGTTTGAAGACTCACTTATTGCCATATCTATGAGAAGCCTCTGTGAATCCAAGGAAGAAGCCTTGAAAGACGTATGCCAGAACTGATAGTTTCGTGTGCCTAAACCTGTCAGTCATCAGAGAACCAGCCTGCAGATGTTGGGAACATGCCTCTTGGCACTCCTTTAGCAAGCTCACTATAGAAAAGAGACTAAAACTGGGAAGTCCAACTCAGAGGCTCAGTAAGGCAGCAGTGGCAGTGGGCTATGCATGTAAGAGTCTGAGTACTGTGTGATGTTTGTAATTCTAATTCCCTGTAGTATAAGTAGGATGGTTCTAGTAGGTAGTGGCCAAGTTTTGAGCTCCCCCCCCATTCCAGTGCATGCATAGAAGGCAGTGCTGTGATGAAGGATCAGTTTGTGACTTTGAGCTTTGCATAGAATTAACAAGCTCACTCAGAGAAATACGAGATACATTTTGAATAAGACTTTTGAGAACTTAGTCAGAGTGAATATGAATCAGTGAAGCTGTTTCTGTTCTGTTAAGTGTGATAAGTCTGTTTGGAGAATGTTTTGAAGTGAAAATCTGAGTTCTGTTCTGTTCTGTTCGAAGTTCCATTTCTGAATCTGTTTCTGAGCACTTCTGAAGTGTTGAGTCAAGATTTCCATTTGAGTCAGTTTGAGACCTCCTACATATAGTTGTATCATCAGGTCACACTAGAAATAATTGCTCCCTCTAGAACTTATGAGGGTGATTGTATTTTGTGTAATTTGCATGAGTGTGTATGTGGGTTTTGAGGTTCACCTTTTAGCCTGCTCACTATTCTGCAGGTGCCTACAGCCAGCCTCTTCACTGTGCAAACTGAAATAGGGCTAAAATTTGCCTCATAGATCTAAATCTTCACCTGTAACTACAATAATGTGTGTAAATCCAATTTTCTCCTAGTCTTCTTGTTGGAAGTACAGAGGAGAATATGTGAGAGAGAGAATTAATTAGCCTCTTGAGGGAGAGGCATCATACTTAAATACATGTTGTACTACTTCTAGAACTTACTACGAATTACTCTGTATATCTACTTTTGCAGTTAAATGTTTATGCCACTTACTAATGCCAAAACTTCGAGTGCATTCTAGCACTAACTTGGGATTGCTATCCTAACACTCCCCCTCAATTCCGAGTTCCTAGAATACCTGCAGATAAATATTCATGTAATGGTCTTGGTAGTCCTTTAGTGAATATATCTGCTAAGTTCTCCTCTGAGGTGTAGTGCTGAACTTTGACTTCATTTGAAGCCATGCACTCATGAACAAAATGATGATGAATATCAATGTGTTTTGATCGTGTGTGGAATATTGGGTTCTCAGCAAATTTGATCACGGATTGATTGTCAATGAAAATAGTAGTTGCACTATCAGGTGGCAACCCTAATTCAGTTAGAAGTGCTTGCAACCATATTACTTCTCGAGTTGTGTGTGCAAGGGCCATATACTCTGCTTCCATAGTGGATAGTGCTATGGTGGGCTGTTTCTTTGAACTCCAAGTAACAGCTCCCTCTGCATAGATACAGACATAACCAGATGTTGATCTTCTATCTGTTCTGTCTTCTCCCCAGTCTGAATCTGAAGAAGGTATCAGTTCATCTGTAGTCCCTCCATATGTAATCCCTAAGTCTAGAGTCCCCTTCAAGTAATGGAAAACTCGTTTGAAGGCTGTGACATGCTCAGCAGCTGGATTCTGCACATATTTGCTTAATTCCATGACAGCATGTGCAATATTGGGCCAGGATCCATTTGCCACATACATCAGAGATCCGACACCAGTGTGGTAATACTGTCTGGTGGCTGTGCCAGTACCTCAGGGGTCATCTTCAGGGATTTTCTCTAGCCGTACAATTGGGTCCATAGGCATTTTGACTGGTTTACAGTCTTTCATGCCCATTCTCTCGAGTACCTTGAGAATATATGCCTTCTGTAATAAGGTAATAGTGCCCTTCTCCCAATTTCTGTCTATCTTCATGCCTAATATATGTTGAATCTCTCTCATGTCTGTAACATTTAACTTCTTCTTAAGTTTTTCTTTCATGTTAGACATGGTTTCATCATCCTGAGCAAGCAATGTCATGTCATCTACATGCACAGCTATAATTATGGGGCCTGATTTCACTTGTCTAATGTATACACATTGATCACTGATCAATCTCATGTATTCAAGTCCCAAAAATGTAGCATTTAATTTTTCATTCCAAACTCAGCCAGATTGCTTGAGTTCATACAATGTCAATTTGAGGTGTGCCGCTTTGCCGCTTCCATCAGAATATTCTGGCAGTTGAGCCATGTAAATGGATTCATTGAGCTTTCCATTTAAGTAAGCTCCGACGACATCCATTCCATGTATAATCAAGTTTCTTTGTATGGCAATGGCTATAAGTAGGCAGAATGTGTCCAGCCTGACAATGGGTGCATATGTCTCAAAGAAATTGATGCCAGGAACCTGTGAGAATCCTTTCACAACAAGTCTGGCCTTGTATCTGGTGATTTTCCCATCACCATCCCTTTTTAATCTATAAGTCCACTTGCAATTTACAAGTGATCTGTCCTGGGGTAATTCCTCTAACTGCGATGTACCCAGAGAAGTCAATAAATTATATTCTTCATCCATTGCTTTCTTCCAATGATACCAATCTGGCCTTGTTTTAGCTTCTTCAAGGCTTAATGGCTCATCACTGAGGTTATCTGCAGTCTCCCCCAGACATGCATAGTCTACTGCTATATTTGCAGTTTCTGAAGGTTCCTGTGACATTTCACACTGCAATTCCAGTGGTTTTGTGCTTCTTGCAGCTGGATTATTGAGCAACTGGTAACTTGGTTGATTGATTGATGCAATCCAGACCGATTTGGTACATGGCTCAATCACCTTCCCATGCCAAATGGGAAGCTTTGATTTGGTTGCTGGGGCATCAAGGGGCATTTCCCTTTTTGATTCAGCAATTTTGGCAGCTGTGGAATCATCAGAAATGTCATCATTTCCACCTGGAGTCTGCTCAACATTGTTCCCTGACTCCCCCTTGAGTGATGAAGGGTGGGATACAATATAGTCATTGTCTGTAGGCTCTTTAGTGTTGTCATCAAGGAATATAACATTTCTTGAGGTCTGAATCTGTCTGGTCTGAGAATTATAATATCTCCAGGCCCTAGATTCATCTGTAAGACCTGTAAAAATGAACTCTCTTGACTTCAGGTCAAGTTTTGACCCTTTGTTATCTTGCTGCAACACCCAGCACTTTACTCTGAACTCCCAGAGTGTTGAAATGTTCGGTTTCATGCTCCAAAACACTTCTTCAGGGGTTAGATCATTCTTGATGGCCTTAGTCAGTGATCAGTTCTTCAGGTACATGGCATATGCCACTGCCTCAGGCCATAGGAATTTCAGCAAGTGATGTTCTTCTAGCATGGCATGCACATGCTCCACAAGGGTCTGATTGACTCTCTCCACAATTCTGTTTTGGGGTGGAGAATATGTGGCAGTCAGTTCCAACTGAATGCCATTGCCATAGAGGTATTCCTTCACCACCTCATTAATGTATTCCTTCCCATTATCAATTCTCATAAACTTCAGGTCCTCCCCTTTGTGGACTTTGATGTATTTCTGGTACTGCTGGATTTTCTTTTGGATCTCCATACCTTCTTTTGACTTGAGAAAATACAACATTGTCCTTCAGGATCTGCCATCTGTGAAGCTTATGTAATATCTTTCTCCATGGATACCCTGAGTTCAGGCTGGCCCTCATAGGTCTAAAAATGTCATTTCACCTATTCTTGTGTATTCCCTTTGAGCTTCTTGTGAAAACGGCTCAACATGGTGCTTGGCCTTTATGCAGGCTTTGCAATCCTTCTGGGGCTCAGCTGACTCATCCACATCCATGCCTTTGACCATCTTCTTTCTGAATAGTCTCTTTACTGATCCTATATTTAAGTGGCCCATCACTCGGTGCCACTTCTGCCACAATTGAGCCAGTTTAATTGCATGGGCTTGAGTTGTTTCTGGTGCAATGCTGTCAAGGCTATACAGCTTTGAAATCTTATCTCCATGACCAATTTTCTTGCCACATAGTGAGATAATGTCCATCCGAGATTCTTTGAATTTGAGTTCAAACCTGGCATCTGTGATTCACTCTAGCGAAATGAGATTGAATGGTGCCTCAGGATAGTGAATACAATCCTTCAGTGTAATTGAAGTAATCTTGTCCTCTTCAACCATTTTAATCTTTACTGTTCCTCTTCCCAAGCCTTTTGACTTTCCTACACCAATAACTTCATGTCCTGG